TGTTTCCTGATAGCAAGCCATAACGGTGGACATCGCTTGTCAAAGTATTAAATATTCTCAGGGTATTAAACAGTAGAGTAAAAATATTGTGAAGTAAAAAAGAAAAAACATGCTGCAGTAACAAATTAATACGCACACCTGAGCCAGTTGGGCCCATTAGTAACACGTTGCTTTTTTCCAATTCTACACTGTCATCACTATCTTCCCCTACTGTCTCTGTCCCTGATCTAGTATCCAAGCAATGAAATTCTCCGTAATTTTTATGCGCAATAGTATAAAAAGAAACATCTCAACTTTTAAATATGAAAGCGCTCCTACTAAGAGCACTTCATACTCCATATATGTAAAATTGTAAATTGATTAAGAAAAATGGTAAATGGAGAATGCTGACAGTCTAGTATGCATCAAACATCAAACAAGCAATGATTACAAAGCGGTTGGTCACTGACCCCTTTTGCAAAGAAGCATGGTAGATCCTTTTGTAGTGGTTATAAACGGCCACCGAGAGCACCTTCAATTGCATGAAAGAAGAATATTAAATTAAATGAGTGAAAAGGAAGGCTTCAATAACTGAACAGAAGCAATATAAGAATCAATGGTTTATCGGTTTCTTAACCTTCATCTCCCATATAATATCACAGTGGCAGGATAAAATCTATGCGGGAAATACTACAAGATCAGAATAAATAGAAAAAAAATATTACACATTTGGTTCAATGTTTGATACGCATTACCCTCATCTAATTCGTAGAGAAAGAATACAACACGTTTCTTGCTAAAATCAGGAATAGCATACATACATTACTTAAAAGAAGGAAGTTTCCAACTTTACACGACAAGTATTAATAAGAACTTGCATAATGACATGTTTGAGTTGATTATTACAAGTTTAAGTTGTAAGCCTTGAATAATTTTTTTGCAAGACAAATAATGATCAAAATTCAAAAGAATAAAGAAATGACCTTCTTGGCACGCTCTTGGCCAATGACAAATTTATCAAGCCACCTACAGATCTCCTTCGGGGTGGGTAAATCTTTGCCTAAATTAGACCCACCCCACTCATTTTTCTCATCATTTCCTCCAGAAGCAGATGCTCTAATGATATTCATACCAGGAGCAAATGGTGGGCCGGGAGGTGTACGCACAGCAACCCCATTTTCAGGCGGCTGTGGAGAGTTCGGGGGCCAATTCTCAGGAGGTTCACCGCTGTAAGACTTCAGAGCCCCCCAGAAAAATGACTTGTGACTCCTGTGAGCCTTTCCGTTGAATTCAACAGTAGCCATCTTGTCTCCGGAACTCTTGCCCCTGCCATTTTCATTGACCCTCTCAATCTCAATGAAGCTTCCTTGAATGGGAGACATGGCGTAGGCAGTCTTACACTTCGGGCAGATATTTGGTGCAGGATTAGAACCTTCAATTTTCGAATCAGTGCCATCGTTATCAGCTATAACGCCAGTACGAGAGTCAGAAACGAGGAGTGGATTGCGCTTGGTGGATATGAGATCGGCGAAATTAGAGCAGCGCGAGCAACCAGCCTCCGCCCTGATCCGCCTGGTTGGCTCAGAAAAGGAACCGGCGCTGCCCCACTTGTATCTCTCCTGCACTCCAATAAGTGGTCCACGGCGCTTGAAGCAGTTCAACAGTCCCCGTTCATGAGAAATGGTGTAGTTGGAAGAGGAAGTAGTTGTCGTGACCGTCGCCACCGTCCTTCTACCTGAAACGACGGTTAGAAGGGGCGTGTTTCGTGACTTGTTCAACCTCCATATTCTGGACATCGTCTGCGTCTACGGTTTCTGTATCAATCAATCAATCCCAATCCGAAAAGGGAAATGTGGATTTCTTTCTCGATAACGCAATCTGTTCTTTCTCGGATGAATTCGGATAAAATGGAAAGGCGGAAGTATGATTGGATCTGGGACTACGGATTAGAAATTATAAAATCATTGCAGACTTGCTATTTTTATTGATAAATAAATTCTCTTTAAATGTTATATGGTGCAAATCATCAACGATCATATGGGTCATGGGAAGCTGAACTGATAATTCATTGGGAAATGCTACCTTACAGTCGTTACAGGTATATGGTTAGATACAGTGTGGATCGGGTAGTGACTACAAGATGTGTTATACTGTTACTTCCTCCATAGTCCATACCAAGAAGGCAAGAAGCGTCATTTCCAATTTTTACTTTTGTGGGGAAAAAAATAAGAGAAATGCTAGAGGTACACACTTTGTGTACACATTTTGTGTACACTCGTCTGTCTCTTAAGAAAATTTTGTCTGTCACAGACAACTCATATATGAATTGTCTGTGACAGACAAAATTTTCTTAAGAGACAGACGAGTGTACACAAAGTGTGTACACAAAGTGTGTACCTCAAGCATTTTTGAAAAAATAAAGGGATATTGAGGCAAGAAGGCTGATTACATGAATTCATTGAGCTAAGTACAAAGTAAAAGTTGTCTGTCAAAGGTCTGATTGAGGGCGCCTAGTCGAGGATGTAGATGACCATTCTTATTCCATTTCTCTGATTCTTTGGTTTTTGAGCTTCTTTCGTAGAAGTGGGCTCGTTTATCCGATAGGACCAGCCGAGGATTATGTTAGTGTTATTTTTGTCTGAGTGTGTGAGTCGTGGGGTCCGGGCCCATATATTCTATCAGAAGTTCCTCACTCTCTGAGTCGAGAGGTGTCAAGGTGAAAGGGAGTAAAACATTCTTGTGCTTCTTCGTTGGCCTTTTGAGTTTTTGTCCTAGGTGGCATTGAGTCTTCTGGCCATTGTGGCTCTTTTTAGGTCAAGATGCGATTTGGCTCCTATGGCCGAGGTGTCATGTTTTGTAGTTGTTTCTTTCCTATGCAGATGCGGTTTTTATTGGCTTTTGGTGAGCTGTGACCAAGGCACCAAAAGCCAATGGACACTACACATGTCCAAGGTTTTGAAAGGCGAAATCGGGCCTCGAGGCGTTAGGCGGTAGCCTTCCGAGGCGTAAGCCTCGAGGCGTAACGAGGCGTAAGCCCCGAAATGGTGTTGCTACAAACCTATGACATATTAGAAAGTATAGATAATTCATAATAATAAGCTAAACTAAACAAAATCACAAGTAAAATGAACATAATTATAAAATATTCAAGTCAAAATAACATAAAACGGAAATACCAAAGTCAAAACTTAAAAGAACATAAAACATCAAAATTCCAAGAAAAAAAAATTTAATCTTCAAAACTAAGCCTATTGTCCCCATCATAACTATCCAAATTAGTAATGTCATTCTCATTGTCATCTCCTTCATTATCACGAGCATCATTATCTTCTTCAGTTCCAACAGTAAGGTCCACCCCTACACACATAAAGTCACAAAAAATAGAATGAAACGGGATGGAAGTTAAGTGTAAATAATTATATTGAAGTGACAAAAAATAAAATATTAAGTTACGAACCTCTGAATTCGTTGTCCATTTCATCAACAACCAATGCAAGTTCATCACGTGCATCTGCACTTTCTTCATTATCTGCATTCGGTTCAGAAATCCACTCATCATCAGATGATACATTTTCGAAGATCAAATTATCGTCTTTCTTTTGTAACCGGCTCTTCCTAAACTTCAACTTCTTGTTGAACATTATAAATACCAAACTATTCAACTTAATGGCTGAAAGACGATTCCTTCTCTTCGTGTGGACCTGATTGAATGTGCTCCAATTTCGTTCACAAGCTGAAGAAGAACACGTCAAGCCAAGAATTTTGACCGCAAAAGCCCATAGTTCTGGAATATGATCTCCAAATTGATCCCACCATTCCACTAAAAAAATGTTAAAGAATTAAAAAAATGCAGTTTTACAACAATACTACTTCAGTAGATAAGGAAATAGATAAGGAAGGCTGTTGCTTTAAAAAAAATTAGGTAAGGAAGATTGTTTTTCATGCATTATGCAAATGGCAGTTTTCAGTTTGGGTAATACTGCAAACGACAGTTTTCAGTTTTAAGTTTTCAGTAGGTAATGCACTAATAGTGTAAATCTGTAGTAGGAAAAAAACATTTTTAGGTTAGTTTAGTTACTAAGTGCAGTTTCCACTTTAAGATTTTAAGTAAAATAAAAAACTGCAACTTTCAGTTTGAATTTAGATCTTAAAATTTAAATACACAAGTCCACTATGTATAAACATTAAAGATATTAAAGATATAGTTTAATATTTAATGTTTACCTGTGGGACGTGTTTTATATGAATTTTGAGCTGCCCTCATTCCGAAAAGTCCACGCTTGTATCGATATTCATCTATTTGTGCATCAGCTTTGTTAAAATCACTGGCATCAGAAATAAGCCTCTCCATACAAGCGTACAAACCTTTTTTAACCTCCACATGAGTAGAGAAATCATCCTCCCATTTGAATCCGGGATTCAAATAATACGCTGCAGCATGCAAGTCCCGATGCAGTTGGTGCTCCCAGTCCTCCCACTTCTCATCTATTATCTTCCAAATCTCACTGTAAGTGGAATATTGATTTCCAAAATTCTCTGCAATTTTTTCTTTTGCCGAATCCATTACACCGTAGATGGATCCCATTGCAGGATCATCACCATCAACAATCCTTAACACTTCAACTAATGGCCTTGATGTTTTTACTGAGTAAGCAACCCTAGGCCAAAAAGTTCTTTCATCCATAACAATTTTTTTAACCTCCTTCCCCTCAACTAAATTTGCATATCGACTTGAAGTCCATTGTTTGGAAACAAACATTCGTTGCAAGGATTCTTTTACGGTGGCCATGCAATCTAAAGTCAAGAATGCAGTGAAAAACCTCGTGGGGCCTGGACGCACTAAATCTTTCTCGATACACTTCCTCAGTAGCTGCAAAACCCTTCCACGATTATAGATAAAATTAGTGATCTTCTTAGCTTTGATCAACACATTTTTATTCTGTGTAAGCTCTCCAATCTTCTCAAGCATGAGGTCAATACAATGGGCGGCACATGGCGTGTGACACCGCACCCGAACGTCCTTGAAAATTCGATTTAAAAATTCAAAAGTGATGTATTGAATTTCCGATTTCAAAACAATGGGAGAAACGATTAATATTTTACGAAGTACATGATTGAATATTGTATTGTTCAAACCCGCATTCTTTTGTAATTTTCATCATGTAAATTATTGGGATGAGCCTACACATATTGGAGATCAATAATGTGACTTTGGAAGTTGACTTGTTCTAAATAAATTAGGATGAGTACAAAAAGACATCTTTTGACAAAGATAAAACAATAGGGTCCATCTTTTCATTTTTTGGAAGTATTGATAGATATTTGGACCCCAAATCTATTGGGATCAATGGGGGTGCGTCCCATACACATTGACACCTGCAAGACAAAAGAAAATAAGTGTTAGGAGTAGGGATGGACGGATAAAAATGAAGGGGAGCTGCACAAGACATGAAGGACATCCAAGAGGGGCCACCTAGTCCATTTTCGCACAAAAAGATGGTGCTGGTTGTCTCCCTCCATGTGTGATGTTATACTTGACCAAATAAGGTGAGTGAGGTGTCCTTGGATAGCCTTTGAAGTCTAGTATCTCAATTGAGTGGCCTTTGTTCGATTAGAGAGAGCAATCATCCAAAAATCGATCTGGAACGAGCAGTGGTCTGTGAACTCGAGCTGTGAGAGTGCTGAGACTGTTTGGTTGATATCTCGAGTTTTACCAATCCAATCAAGGCGTGTGAGATACCAAAAGAAAGCTCTAAAGACGAGGAATCCGTGAAGGTCTGGTTTGCATCAATCGGAGTAGAGGAAGGCTTCCAAATCGTCCGAGCAGAACGCGACCTCGCAGGGACAGATTTACTCTTCTAAGTGAGTTGTTAATTTCAAAACTTTTCCATTCATTTTCCAAATGATATGAACGATTGGTGGAACTATTATACACTAATCCAAGTGTATAATATGTCCCTATTAAGTTATTTTATTGATGTAAAGGTTAGATACTAACCTAGAACAAATCTTGGAAAACTAGGAAACGAGTTAGCCGGAAAACACCCATTCTAGGGGCTGTTTTCGTACCAACGTTTAGGGGTTGAGCTAGCACCTTGAAGAGGCTGTTTAACACTCATATTTGAGCAAGGAATCAGTTCCAAATCCATCTTGACCGAAGCTTTGACCATTGAACCAAGAAGGGAAAGTTTAAAGCTCAATTGAGGTGAGGATTGACATCTAATTGCTTACAACTTGTAGGTTAAGCATGAGATTACCTAAATGCTTAAATCATGATTTTTCATGGATTATGATGACTATATATTGATGAAATATTGATATAGTTGCCAAAGAATGAATTTGGAATGATTGAGAAAGTATGAATAATATGAGATTAAATGAGTATAAATGAACTATTTTGTGAAAATGGGCATTTTGCTCATGTATGAATCATGTGGATACATAAATGAATATTTGTGTATTGAGATTGAATGCTTAAGTTGCTGCTACATAATTATAAATATGTAGAGAATTACAAACAATGAGGATAATGGTACGATAACAATAATCTTAATAGTATTGGAATACTAGTTAGTGATTATTGGAACTTGTTGATTAAATTGATCCTAGGGATTGGATTGTATGAAAGGTACTTGAATGTAGTTCAAGTGTATATGATAACTTAGTATGGAACTAAGGTTAAGTTATGGGGAGTCTTTAAGGATGACCCATGGTAGTTTAATGATATGTCAATTCTAGGCATAGGGTTGCTTGAGAATTGGACCTTAATGCATGGTGATGTGATAGAGCCGAGCTCTAGAATGCATGTAAGGTGTAGACTTGGAGTCTATGTATTGTATAGCTAGAGCCGAGCTCTAGGACTTGCGTGGTGATGTGATAGAGCCGAGCTCTAGAACGCAAGGTAGGGAGATTGACCCGAGGTATATGAATTGTATGGTGATGTGGTAGAGCCGAGCTCTAGAATACAATGTCATGTACTAGGGTTGGACTCTAGGAGTTGTCGTGGCTTATAGTCACGGGGTTGGGAATGGTGATTTCCAAATAAACATGGGCCCACGGGCCGACTACTTGACTTTTATATTAAGTAAGTATATTCTTAAACGGGGTAACTAGGGTTACAAATCATAATGTACTATCACCTTATTTGAGGGTCTTGTGTTTGAAATACTTGTTGTATATCTATTAGATGCCTGCCACACCAGTACTTTATAACCGTATAGAGTACTGACCCCTTCGGGGGCGTCCCACCACCATTTTTCAGGTTGAGGCTAGAGCTTGCTTCCTGTGCTCGTTGTTCGAGAGATCATATAGGAGGGAAGACTTGGTTCGTGCTTCCTCCATTCTGTTTTTAAACCTTCCTAAACGTGCTCATGGATATTTTACTATGGAGCCTGCGTGCTCATGAAATGCCTTGTGTGGCCTTTTGTTTTAAACAATGTTTCCGCTGCGTTATGAATTACTTATTATGTTTGTTTATGGATGTATATGTGTGAATGATATTCAAGACGCCTTGTATAATATGAATGTGTTGGACTGCGGTTGACTATTCGTATTGTACGGCGGGTTGTTGACGTGTCCGGATAGGTCCGGGGCGTGACAATTAAGTTGGTATCAGAGCCTTAGTCCGTAAACTTCATAATGAAGTCTCAAAATCCTCTTTTTGAAAAGATTTTGAAAACCATGAGCATAGAAGTTTTGTACTTGGAGAGCTTTTGGTACTTGGGTTGCAAGGTCTCTAATTGTTAAGATGGTACCCTTAGCAATTGGTATGGCGGTGACTCGAGCCAAAATGTGTCTTAAGTACCTATCCGTCAATTGACATTTGATACGAGTCTAACGACTCTTTCCAAATTTCTTTCAGAAATGGACCGTGGTGGCAAGGTAACTAGGAGGAACCCTTTGGGCCGTGCACCCGAGGAGACTGGGCAAGGCAGTCGTAGGACCTCTAGGGCATCTAGAGGTGCGGGCCGTGGAGGCCAATCACGGACCGTGAGTGACGGTCATGTGAGCACCGAAAGTGACAGCTACTGGTCCTATGAGGACTCGACCTATCGGCCGGAAACAGAGCCGGTTGAAACCCCTTATGAAGGGGATGATGATGATGTAAGTGATGAGGAGGACAACGGCTCCTTAGCGCGGATTGAGGCACTACTCCAACAATATCACCGTGAGCGTGAAGAGAGGAGGGAACGCCGAAGGCGCCGGGCTGGGCAACCTTCGGGCATGGCTTCACGAGGAGGAAGTCATGGTGCATCTAGAGTCCATGTGGAACCACGTGGAGGCCAAAATGATGGAGGTCCAACCATAAGGATCTCCAAATACCTCAAAGAAGCAAGAGATTTGGGGTGCAAACCCTTTGATGGAGCAGGGGACATTTCAGTGGCAGCACAATGGATCAAGAGGCTAAATGAAGCGGCCCTTGACATGCAAATCGCGCCGAATCTCAAACTGAGAATTGCGGTAAGATTGCTCGAGGGGATGGCATCCAAGTGGTGGGATGGAACAAAGAACAAGTACGGTGAGACCGTCGTTTGGGAGGACTTCCAACGGGAGTTCTTTGCCCAATACTATTCTGATTTCGAGGTGAATAAGAAGGTGAGGGAATACACCCTCCTAACCCAAGGGGGTAACATGTCAGTGAAGGAGCTTGAGTACAAGTTCCGGGATCTCGCCGACTACATACCGGAGTATGCTTGTGACGAGAACCGCATGGTGAACCACTTTTGGGACGCTCTTGACTTGGAGATACGTGATAGGGCAACGCAATTGCCTAATATGACTTTCGCCCAAGTGGTTGAACAAGCATTGAAAGGGGAGAAACAGTGGGAGGAACGGAAGAAGAGGGACGCCGAAGAGGCGAAAAAGAGAAAATGGGAGAGTCATGGCTCCCAAGGTTCCAACAAAAGGGGGAACCACGGAGGAGGATCTTTCCGGGCACCACCGCCACCATCAAGGGGGAACCAAGGCCCAAGTGGGCAAGGCTCGAGGTCACAGACCTCAGTGGTAACTCGTTGCAACAATTGCAAGAGGAACCATTCCGGTAAATGTCGCGACCCCCCTAGATGTTTCCAATGTGGGGATGCCGGGCATTTGAAGGCACATTGCCCACAACTGGGCGGGGCAAGGACATCGGGACCAAGTAGTGGCCCGACGGGTACACGGAATCAGACCGGGGCTTCTCAAGCAAGCAGGGGGCAAGGGGGAGCAAGTGCGAGCAACGCGCCATCCGTGAACCAAGGGAGGACCCAGGCTAGGGTCTATGCGATGACGGAGGCGGATGCTCAAGCTAACCCGGACTCCGTTGCAGGTATTGCCTCTCATATACTAGTGTTTCATCCTTAATTAGTCCATAAATTGAGGATACTAATCGCTAGGATCATTGCACGAGGTTTTGGGGTCGAACCGGGGGATTTCGGGCAACTTCAGGCGGCTGGGACCCAGGCACGATCGTGCCTAAGGCAGACACGATCGTGCCTCCAAGTCAGTAGCTGCCCAGGAATATTCCCAGCCCAGGCACGATCGTGCCTAAGGCAGACACGATCGTGCCTACAAGGCAGTAGCTGCCCAGGGTTTTTCTCCAAACCAGGCACGATCGTGCCTAAGGCAGACACGATCGTGCCTCCAAGTCAGTGGTTCCCAGGATTTTTCCAACCCAGGCACGATCGTGCCTAAGGCAGACACGATCGTGCCTCCAAGGCAGTAGCCCCAGGGCGTTTTCCTGAGCCAGGCACGATCGTGCCTACCCCGGGCACGCCGTGCCTGGCACCCAGATTGCCGAAACCCGATTTTTTCGCATCGTTTTGCGACGTTAAGGCCTCTTCTTGATCTCTAACGTGCGTGTGAACATTGCAACCTTCTATAAATGAGTAGGGAGGATAGGAAAGATGTCTTACATGGTTCATGAATGTAGGGACACTAAAGATTAACGGGAAGGATGCACGAATCCTTATCGATACCGGAGCGCAACGTTCATTCGTGAGTGAGGCGTTTGCCGAGAGCTTAGAGATGCAATCAATACCAATGACACAAACCTTAGTGGTATCAACCCCACTAGGGGAAGACGTTGAAAGAAACAATTACTATCCATCTTGTATGGTGGAAATCGGTGGCCAAACCTTGACGTGTGATTTCGTACCGCTTAGTATGATGGAGTTCGATGCAATCCTAGGGATGGATTGGCTAGAAAAGCATCATGCTAGGGTAGATTGCTACACAAAGGTGTTGGAACTCGAAGGCACACATGGGGACACCCTACGCTTCGAGGGGGACCGCGGCAGATCAAATAGTTGTATCATATCCGCCGTGAGAGCGAGAAATATGATGAGGAAGGGATGCCACGCATATCTAGCATACGTGGTTGACAAAACCAAAGAGGGAACGAACATCGATGATGTGAGGGTGGTTTGTAAGTATCCGGATGTCTTCCCTAAAGACCTACCGGGGCTTCCACCTGACAGAGAGATTGAATTTGTGATCGAGGTCGAGCCTGGTACCAAACCAATCTCCATACCGCCATACCGGATGGCACCCGCTGAACTTAACGAGTTGAAAACCCAATTGCAAGAGCTTTTGGATAACGGTTTCATTAGACCAAGCCACTCCCCGTGGGGAGCACCGGTTCTTTTTGTGAAAAAGAAAGATGGGACACTTCGAATGTGCATTGACTATCGTCAACTGAACAAGGTCACAATCAAGAATAGGTATCCGTTGCCTAGGATTGATGACTTGTTTGATCAACTACGAGGAGCAACCGTGTTTTCGAAGATTGACTTAAGGTCGGGGTACCATCAATTGAAGATTAAGGAAGATGACATACCAAAGAGTGCTTTCCGCACAAGGTATGGGCATTTTGAGTTCCTTGTTATGTCGTTTGGGTTAACAAACGCCCCGGCGGCATTCATGGACTTGATGAACCGAGTATTTCATAAATACTTGGATCGATTCGTGATTGTGTTCATAGATGACATCTTGATTTACTCAAAGAGTGAAGAAGAGCATGAGGAGCACTTGATACTTGTTCTTGAAACACTACGGGAGAAGCAACTCTATGCCAAATTTTCTAAATGTGAATTTTGGCTAAAGGAGATTGGCTTCCTCGGGCACGTGGTTTCGGGATCGGGGATTGCTGTTGATAACAAGAAGATAGAAGCCATTACTGAATGGGAGAGGCCAAAGAACGTCAAGGAAATTCGTAGTTTCCTTGGATTGGCAGGCTACTATAGAAAGTTCGTGGAAAAGTTCTCTGTTTTGGCATCGCCATTGACGAAGCTCACTCGTAAAGGAGCTAAGTTTGTATGGGATGACAAATGTGAGAAAGGGTTCATGGAAATAAAGAAGAGATTGACTGAGGCACCGGTACTTGCATTACCCAAACAAGGTGTGGGGTACGATGTCTATAGCGATGCGAGCATCCAAGGGCTCGGATGTGTACTGATGCAGAATGGGAGAGTAATCGCCTATGCTTCACGACAATTGAAGAAGCATGAGGTGAATTATCCTACTCATGATTTGGAGCTCGGGGCAGTGGTATTTGCACTGAAGATATGGAGACATTATCTCTACGGGGAGACATGTCACATATACACCGATCACAAGAGCTTGAAGTACGTGTTTACTCAGAAAGAGCTAAACATGAGACAGAGAAGGTGGATGGAGCTGATAAAAGACTACCATCTAGTGATAGAGTATCACCCAGGCAAGGCAAACGTGGTGGCAGATGCTTTGAGCCGGAAGAGCTCGTCTGGGGCATTGATAACTAATTTGAGGGCATTAAGAGCCCAACTGGAGGTAACCAGCGATGGTGCCTTATTGGCACGATTTGAGGTGAGACCCACTTTACTTGATGAGATCAAGAAGGGTCAGGAAGCCGACGAAGAACTTATGAAGGTCCGGGAACACATGCAAGCGGGGCCGGTGGAGGATTTCAGGGAAAGAGATGATGGTCTCTTGTTATTTCGTGACCGAGTGTGTGTACCGTCAGATGATGAGCTCCGAAAGTCCATCTTAGAGGAGGCTCATTCATCGGCTTATGCCATGCACCCGGGGGGCACGAAAATGTACCGTGATTTGAAGGAAAGTTATTGGTGGTCTGGAATGAAGAGGGAAATAGCCGAGTACATCAGTCGGTGCCTTACTTGTCAACAAGTTAAGGCAGAACATCAGCACCCAGCAGGCTTATTGCAACCACTCTCCATCCCTGAATGGAAGTGGGAGCACGTGACTATGGATTTCGTGGTAGGCTTACCACGGACTATCAGGAACTATGACGCGGTTTGGGTCGTTGTGGATAGGCTCACAAAGAGTGCACACTTCTTGCCTATCAACACTACCTACTCACTTGAGAGGTTAGCCAAATTGTATACGGATGAGATCGTGAGGCTGCATGGGGTCCCGGTGACCATTGTATCTGATAGAGACCCACGATTCACATCACGTTTTTGGCCGAAATTCCAGGAGTCTATGGGAACGAAGTTGAAGTTCAGCACTGCTTTCCATCCACAGACGGATGGGCAGTCTGAAAGGGTTATACAGATCCTAGAAGACATGCTGAGGGCTTGTGCATTGGAATTCCAGGGGAGTTGGGACAACCACTTAGCACTTGTGGAGTTTGCCTATAACAACAGTTATCAGGCAAGCATCGGCATGCCTCCATACGAGGCATTGTATGGGAGGAGGTGCCGTACACCGTTATGCTGGGACGAGGTTGGCATGGCCAAACTCGAGGGTACTGAGTTGGTGGAGGTCACCAAATCAAAGGTGAAGTTGATTCGAGAGAGACTCAAGGCGGCTCAGGATAGACAAAAGAGTTATGCAGATAAGCGTCGAAGAACCTTAGAGTTTAAGGTTGATGACGAGGTATTCTTGAAAGTTTCTCCTTGGAAAGGGATCATTCGGTTCCAAACCCGAGGAAAACTTAACCCACGATATATAGGTCCATTCAGAATTATAGAGAGGATTGGGGCCGTTGCATATCGTCTACAGTTGACTCCTGAGTTAGAGAAGATACATAATGTGTTTCATGTATCCATGCTTAAGAAGTATGTGCATGATCCCTCTCACGTACTGGAGAAGCCACCTGTAGAGGTACGTGAGGATTTGAACTACGCTGTTCAACCTATCAAGGTCACCGATAGAAAGGTGAAGAAGCTGAGGAGCAAAGAAGTCCCAATGGTTAAAGTCCTGTGGAAGAGCGATCGGGTCGAGGAAGAGACATGGGAAATAGAGGCTTTGATGAGGAAGCAGTATGCTTTCCTATTCGAGTAGAGCTGTGAATTTCGGGGACGAAATTCCTGTTAAGGGGGGGTGAACTTGTGACACCGCACCCGAACGTCCTTGAAAATTCGATTTAAAAATTCAAAAGTGATGTATTGAATTTCCGATTTCAAAACAATGGGAGAAACGATTAATATTTTACGAAGTACATGATTGAATATTGTATTGTTCAAACCCGCATTCTTTTGTAATTTTCATCATGTAAATTATTGGGATGAGCCTACACATATTGGAGATCAATAATGTGACTTTGGAAGTTGACTTGTTCTAAATAAATTAGGATGAGTACAAAAAGACATCTTTTGACAAAGATAAAACAATAGGGTCCATCTTTTCATTTTTTGGAAGTATTGATAGATATTTGGACCCCAAATCTATTGGGATCAATGGGGGTGCGTCCCATACACATTGACACCTGCAAGACAAAAGAAAATAAGTGTTAGGAGTAGGGATGGACGGATAAAAATGAAGGGGAGCTGCACAAGACATGAAGGACATCCAAGAGGGGCCACCTAGTCCATTTTCGCACAAAAAGATGGTGCTGGTTGTCTCCCTCCATGTGTGATGTTATACTTGACCAAATAAGGTGAGTGAGGTGTCCTTGGATAGCCTTTGAAGTCTAGTATCTCAATTGAGTGGCCTTTGTTCGATTAGAGAGAGCAATCATCCAAAAATCGATCTGGAACGAGCAGTGGTCTGTGAACTCGAGCTGTGAGAGTGCTGAGACTGTTTGGTTGATATCTCGAGTTTTACCAATCCAATCAAGGCGTGTGAGATACCAAAAGAAAGCTCTAAAGACGAGGAATCCGTGAAGGTCTGGTTTGCATCAATCGGAGTAGAGGAAGGCTTCCAAATCGTCCGAGCAGAACGCGACCTCGCAGGGACAGATTTACTCTTCTAAGTGAGTTGTTAATTTCAAAACTTTTCCATTCATTTTCCAAATGATATGAACGATTGGTGGAACTATTATACACTAATCCAAGTGTATAATATGTCCCTATTAAGTTATTTTATTGATGTAAAGGTTAGATACTAACCTAGAACAAATCTTGGAAAACTAGGAAACGAGTTAGCCGGAAAACACCCATTCTAGGGGCTGTTTTCGTACCAACGTTTAGGGGTTGAGCTAGCACCTTGAAGAGGCTGTTTAACACTCATATTTGAGCAAGGAATCAGTTCCAAATCCATCTTGACCGAAGCTTTGACCATTGAACCAAGAAGGGAAAGTTTAAAGCTCAATTGAGGTGAGGATTGACATCTAATTGCTTACAACTTGTAGGTTAAGCATGAGATTACCTAAATGCTTAAATCATGATTTTTCATGGATTATGATGACTATATATTGATGAAATATTGATATAGTTGCCAAAGAATGAATTTGGAATGATTGAGAAAGTATGAATAATATGAGATTAAATGAGTATAAATGAACTATTTTGTGAAAATGGGCATTTTGCTCATGTATGAATCATGTGGATACATAAATGAATATTTGTGTATTGAGATTGAATGCTTAAGTTGCTGCTACATAATTATAAATATGTAGAGAATTACAAACAATGAGGATAATGGTACGATAACAATAATCTTAATAGTATTGGAATACTAGTTAGTGATTATTGGAACTTGTTGATTAAATTGATCCTAGGGATTGGATTGTATGAAAGGTACTTGAATGTAGTTCAAGTGTATATGATAACTTAGTATGGAACTAAGGTTAAGTTATGGGGAGTCTTTAAGGATGACCCATGGTAGTTTAATGATATGTCAATTCTAGGCATAGGGTTGCTTGAGAATTGGACCTTAATGCATGGTGATGTGATAGAGCCGAGCTCTAGAATGCATGTAAGGTGTAGACTTGGAGTCTATGTATTGTATAGCTAGAGCCGAGCTCTAGGACTTGCGTGGTGATGTGATAGAGCCGAGCTCTAGAACGCAAGGTAGGGAGATTGACCCGAGGTATATGAATTGTATGGTGATGTGGTAGAGCCGAGCTCTAGAATACAATGTCATGTACTAGGGTTGGACTCTAGGAGTTGTCGTGGCTTATAGTCACGGGGTTGGGAATGGTGATTTCCAAATAAACATGGGCCCACGGGCCGACTACTTGACTTTTATATTAAGTAAGTATATTCTTAAACGGGGTAACTAGGGTTACAAATCATAATGTACTATCACCTTATTTGAGGGTCTTGTGTTTGAAATACTTGTTGTATATCTATTAGATGCCTGCCACACCAGTACTTTATAACCGTATAGAGTACTGACCCCTTCGGGGGCGTCCCACCACCATTTTTCAGGTTGAGGCTAGAGCTTGCTTCCTGTGCTCGTTGTTCGAGAGATCATATAGGAGGGAAGACTTGGTTCGTGCTTCCTCCATTCTGTTTTTAAACCTTCCTAAACGTGCTCATGGATATTTTACTATGGAGCCTGCGTGCTCATGAAATGCCTTGTGTGGCCTTTTGTTTTAAACAATGTTTCCGCTGCGTTATGAATTACTTATTATGTTTGTTTATGGATGTATATGTGTGAATGATATTCAAGACGCCTTGTATAATATGAATGTGTTGGACTGCGGTTGACTATTCGTATTGTACGGCGGGTTGTTGACGTGTCCGGATAGGTCCGGGGCGTGACATGGCGTCCAATACAAATGCTTCCTCTTCTCCATTAGAAGTTTCCCAGCAGCTTTGTATGCATTTGCATTATCTATCACAATTTGCACAACCAGACTTTCTCCTATTTCCTCAACTACCCCGTCAAGCAATTCAAAAAGATAAGTTTGATCTTTAACTCGATCTGATGCATCAATAGATCTGAGGAAAACAGTACCATATTGGTTGTTAATTAGTATGTTAAGAAGACCTTGGTTTCTACGGAATGAAGCTGAACTGATAATTCATTGGGAAATGCTACCTTACAGTCGTTACAGATATATGGTTAGATACAGTGTGGATCGGGTAGTCACGACAAGATGTGTTATACTGTTACTTCCTCCATAATCCATACCAAGAAAGCAAGAAGCGTCATTTCCAATTTTTACTTTTGTGGGGAAAAAAAATAAAGGGATATTGAGGCCAAACAATGGATCGCTAATGGGCTGATTACATGAATTCATTGAGCTAAGTACAAAGTAAAGTTGTCTGTCAAAGGTCTGATTGAGGGTGCCTAGTCGAGGGTGTCATATCAAGATGACCATTCTTCTTCCATTTCTCTAATTCTTTGGTTTTTGAGCTTCTTTCGTAGAAGTGGGCTCGTCTATCCGATAGGACCAACCGAGGATTATGTTAGTGTTATTTTTGTCTTCTATGAGTGTGTGAGTTGTGGGGTCCGGGCCCATATACTCTATCAGAAGTTCTCCACTCTCTGAGTCGAGAGGTGTCAAGGTGAAAGGGAGTAAAACATTCTTGTGCTCCTTCGTTGGCCTTTTGAGTTTTTGGCCTAGGTGGCACTGAGTCTTCTGGTCATTGTGGCTCTTTTAGGTCAAGATGCGATTTGGCTCTGATGGTCCCTGATAGAGGTAAAAGTCTAGAGGGGGAGTGAATAGACTTTTAAAGTTTTTTCGGTTTTAAGAACTCTTCCCCTCTAGATGAGTTGATCTATAATCTTTTGAGAGATTAATAGATGCAAAGCGGAAGTCTTTAACCTCTTGATTATCAGTATGAAACAATTTTTTTTGGTTCTGGTGATGTTTGGAGTTTAAACAGTGAGCAGTTGGCTTGGCAGTTGCCTGGATGGGAGGGAACTGGTGAGGTAACTGCTAATGGAAAATAGGAGTTTGGGATTGATGATTATATGGCCTTGTACAGAATGATGAGGGCTTACTGAATGTGCGCTGAGGTGGAGAAAATAAGATGTTTTGCCTGAACAGAGGTCTGAGCAGTTGGGTGGACCCAGGAAACTGCTAAGCCGTCTGCTGCGTATGAATGAAGTATCTTTGAGGTCTTACAAACCACACCTTTTAGTAGTGATATTTAAAGCTCGTGTGAAGCAGTTGTCTCAAGGAAAAGTGAGTTATTAAGCAGTAGGATAAGCAGTAGGGTCTGTTAAGGCTATTGCTTAGGATGCTGCTGGCATACTACAATCCTTTTGTGAGATCTGTTTTGTGTGTGCTTTGTTGAATTTGAATGGAAAATCAACACACGATATATCCTGGTTCAGAGGTGGTGTAATCCTCCTACATCCAGTCCCATTCTCTTTCAAATGGATTTCCACTAAAGTATTCAGCTCAATACACTTAGTGACAATCTGGCCTTTACAACACTTAGGCCTAGATTGAAGGTTTTTCACAATGAGTATGACACCACTCAAAGTTACTCAGTCCTTAGACTTTTCTCGATTGATCCAGTGGGGATCAATAGGTACTCTATCTATCTAACTACACTTTAGGATCTGAGCAACTGTTCTCCTAAATGTTTTCCAACCACTTGTGAAATGTTACAAGAAAGTTCTAACCTCCAACTATGAACTAAGCTCTAAAAATATGAAAATGTTAATCTGATCTAAGAGCTTAGTGAAGCATGAGTCTAAGCAGAGAGTGAAGTTGAATTAGCACTTTCTCTTTTGCTAGATAGCTCGTATATGCTTTGATGCAAGTATTTCTCTACTTAGGATGCTCAAGCTTATTTTAGAACTTATGCTTCTACCTATATTTATAGGCCTCCATAGTTGATTAATCTCATCCGTTGGTTGAGATGAATTAATCCTTGGCGTTGAAATGCTGGCAAGGATAAGTTGTACACTTGTCTCCTTGTGGTGGATCATTTGTCGAAGTTGTCTTCACTTATTGGTAGCTGGTGGATTACTTTATGTGTCCCATGCTGTAGGTCCGTGCACTTGATTCAGCATTTAATGCCGGTCAAGCTTTGTCTTCCAATCATACACATTCAATGTATGATATCCGAGTACAAAAAAAATGTGACAATTAATTAATCTTTGAGTCAAATGACATATACCGGTAGGATCTAAATATCATATTAAGGTAAATAAAAATTACCTTATTGCATTTTTACTTTTCGGTAATATTTCACTAGACTCAAAAATTGTACATTTATTTTTGTCACTTATGAGAAATTTGAAAACAAATGTTCGAACTTAATTAGGACACAATGTACTAAAGTGGAGTATAGTGGCATCATCAAAATCTATCAAAATTGGGTACTAACAGGCTCCTATGGCCGAGGTGTCATGTTTTGTAGTTGTTTCTTTCCTATGCAGATGCGGTTTTTATTGGCTTTTGGTGAGCCGTGACCAAGGCAACCCTATGGTAGAATCCTTGGACGAAGGTCACAGGCCGAAGGTTCACAAATGGGTTTTGTCCAAGGAGCGCTTGACTTTACGATCACCCCTCATTTTATTTTGGCCGGGGAAGTCTGTGTTTAAACGATTAGGACCAAAGTGTGAAATTTTTTAGTGAAAACGTAGGCAGTGAGAACTTGGCCGATGATGTCATACATGTCCTGGGCACGTGGTTGATGGTAACTCCACGAGTCTTGTGGCCATTGTACCTTATTTGTGCAGCAGTGAGACACATGACTCTTGCGTGTTGATGGTGTGGTATGGGGAGCCCGCGGCTTCCGTTGATTGGCTATGAGTCAGGCTGACCACTGGGTATGTGACATGTGTAGTGTCCATTGGAGAGGACCCTTATAAATACTCCACCTCTGACACATGATTCTACACTTAATTTTCCATTGAGAGATCACGAAGTGCTGCTGAATTCTAAAGAAGTAAAGCGTTCTTCGATCCTTCAAATCTTCAAAGGTCGGTTCATCATTTGTTCTTCATATTTTCTTTATACCTTGCTTCAGGGGGTTATATCTAGTGTTTCTTAAGAAAAAACACTTTGATCCAAAGCCTTCCCTTGGGCATGTGTTTGTTTAGTCACGTTGTCCCCTGACACGTGAAACGTCCCCGGGTCCCTTATTGTTCCAAAATCTTTGGACAAGGAGTTCTTTCCTTTTGACGAGGATGACACATCTCCCAAGCCAACTATGTTGCTTAGAGTGGTGGAGGAATTCAACACTGAGATGGAGAACACTGGTGATTACCGAAAGAAGACAACCTGGAAGGATTGGGGATTGAGGGTAACCCGGCTCCCTCTAGTGAGGCGGGGGGAGGGGAGGAATCGGACCCTCCTTGTGAAAATGAGGGGGCTTCAACCTCGGCGAACATCCTCTGTCCTCCACCGATATCATTCGTCCGTAGAGGGGAGCCAGGAGTTCCTAAAGTAGGATGAGGGTCACGTCGGCGCTAGGTTTTGGCTATAGGGCTCTTGCAACTAGATCTCAAGAACCTCCTCACAATCCGCCCTGAGAGTACGCCAAATGAGTGGCATCTTGATCAAATGTATAGTACGTCGGCCCATATGGTAGAGTTAGGTACCCATGCTGACGGACAATGTACTGTCCCCGCCTCTAGGGTACTTTTGCATATATCCCATGAGTTTTGTCAAACAGCTATACGCTAATGGCTGGCATTTCGATTCACCGTGACGAGTTGGGGATCACGTAGGGTTGTAAACGAACCCAATCGAGTCGAATAGTGTGATTTTGTATTTGTTTAATTTTTTCGAATACGAATTCAAATACAAATATGAAACCAATATTAATTTCGATTTGTATTCGTATTTGTTTAACAATACGAATAGTTAACGAATCATGCATGAATATCGAATCAATTTGATCATAAGTTAAATATTAGTGAAATATAACTTTAAAACAATTTTTCCTATGAGTGTTATGACTTAATATGCGTTTTTAGAATTTAATTTGTGACATTTCATTTTTCTTTAAAATTTAATGGATCGATGCGTTTTTAGGTTGTGCACAATATACTAAAGTGAATCAATTTTATGATTACTACTATACATAAATATATTTGAAAGTTTTTGAAATAAAAACTAACTCACACATATTAAAGATTATACCTATGATGTGTGAAATAATTAAGTTGATAATTGTATATATCAAAGTCAAACGACTCTAATTTTATGTTAGATTTTTAGCATTGTTGATAATAAAAAAACACCATTAGATATATAGTTCATATTACACAAACATAGTGGGTAGTTGATGCACCTACACATACTAGATAGTTGATTTTATTTATGTATAAATGAATATATATTTGATTATTAATCGAATCAAATACGTAATTATTTCTATTCGTATTTGAAAGATGTTTGAACCAAACATCATATTTGTATTCATATTTATTTTCTATATTTTCAAATTTAAATGATAACTTATGAATCCAATTCACGAATCGAATTAAAACTATTTGTTTTCGTTTACGACCCTTACTACCTATGATACTTCTGATTTATTACAAATTGACTTGAAATGTGTATACGTAAATGTATATATGGGTTTCACTTTGAGGTCATAGCTAGCTCTTAAAAGTTATTATAGTATTATTACTACTATTACTACTATTACTATTATTATTCTTAATTATTAATATTATCATGTCACTATTATTAATCGAATATATTCGATTAACATTTGAATCAGATATACTGATATTTGTATTTGTATTTGATAACATTTTGAATCAAAATTAGTATTTTGATCCCTCTTATACAAATTCGAATCCCGAATCGAGCATAAATTATTTGATTCGTTTACAACCCTACGCTGACCTTGGGCCTGTTCATGAACCTCTACAAGATTGGTCGAGGAGGCCACGAGAATTGTGCCGGTTTGCTAATCTCTAGCAGATGAGAGGGAATAGATCTTTTACGGACC